TTTGGCCATTTGGTGTTCCTTTGAGGTGTCACATATATTTTAGAATAGTTTTTTCTATTTCCACAGCTAGGAAAGTTTTCCCCTAGTGCCAGAAGACTCACGTGTAGGATGCAGCATATAGAACTTATTGAAGGCAAGGCTGACTAAGGCCTGGTGTTTGTATGATTGTCATGCCTTTTGCTAGAACTATTTTAAAGAAAAGATTTAAAAAGTATGTTTTAACTTAGTTTAGTAAGCAATACTTCTATTTGGATATTCTATTTTTTTTTTTAATGTAACAATTGTCCTCACATTAAAGGAGCCCAGGATGGCTCTATGTTAAAATAGAAAATGCACTAATTAAGGGGTAATTTAATGTGCAATTTCATATATTAATAATTAGCAAAGCATTACTGATCTGCATGGAAGGTAAAAAGCTGTGGGAACATAACTAATAAACTATCAAGGCCAAAATAGGCTTCATAATAAAATAAGACTTCAATGTATCTTTTATTAAGTGGCGACAAATGAACCATTGATTAACATGTAATAGGTGACTACTAAACTGCTTAAATTACATACGAAATGAGGAACTTGCAGGAGATTCACTTTATAGATGCTGAAGATCAAAGGTCCTCAGTAAGGGCTCCTGCACTGCAAGGTCAAATCTGAGGTGCTCTATACTCCTGCAGCAGCTATGCTGATGCACTGAGGCAGTGGAAGCAGGAAGTAAACAAAGGGCAAGGTATCAAATGCCCAGAAAGTGAAGTGATCTGAAGTCTAAGAAATACTCAAGGAGAAGCAATTTCCAACAAAAATGTAAGTGTGTAAGTGGCTGGGCATAGTGGCTCATGCCTGTAATGTCAGAACTTTGGGAAGACAAGGTGGGAGGATTCATTCAGCTCTGAAGTTCAAGACCAGCCTGAGCAAGACTGAGACTCAGTCTCTACTAAAACTAGAAAAAACAGCCAAGCATGGTGGCAGACACCTACAGTCCCAGCAACTCAGGAGGCTGAGGCAGGAGGAGTACCACTTGAGGCCAGGAGTTTGAGGTTGCTGTGAGCTATGACACCAAAGCACTGTACCCAGAGAGACTGAGTGAGACTATCTGAAACAAAACAAAAGAGAAACCCAATGAAAATTTTAATTACTTGGTATTATACATGTACATAGGCACTGATTGTTGTTAATAGGAAATAATGAGGTGATAAGAATATGCTTATAAACTACAAATGCTTATTGGCTCCTGATTAGAATCTAGGAGATCTGAAAGTCACAGGAGATTATACTATGTAGAACAGAGCTACTCTGTTTACTGATAAGAAATGTACAATCCACAATAGTATTGATTGTCTTGGGTAGGAGCAAATGTTAAATTCATTAGAGAAAGGAAGTAAATATTTTTATAGATGCAAGAAACTGATGGAAAAATGCTCTCTAGTTAATCAAAATGAAAGTTATATTGAAACACACAAACAGGACAAGGTACAAAACCTTTTATCTCTACCAATTCACATAAACTGTAAGTCTACAAATTACTGAGATTGACATGGATTATTACAAGCCATTTGCAACCAACTGTTATCCATATAACAGAGAGAAAAGGGAGGAGACAAAGGAAAAAAATCTAGATTCTTATTTACACATAACTGAATTTTGTACTTTATAGCTCACAACCTTCTCTGACAGTTTCAGGGAAGTGAGAATTAGTGAAATGACTGTATGTAGTATAATTGAGATAACTGCCAAGGATGAAACTATACACTAGGTTAAAAAAAGAACAGCTGAAGGCAGACCCAAGTCTGGATAAGGTTGTTAATACAGCTGACACTGAGCCTGAGAATCATACTCAACAGGGAAGCTTAACTAAAAAAGGAAAAATCAATGTTAAATAAGACTGGTTCTTCACCTCCAGAGTTCCAACCAAGTGAGACTATTAGAGAAACCACAGCAGCACTGTGTCAGATCTGCACAGCACTGTGCAGGCGACTGGGGCACCTGCGAGGTGACGCACCCTTTCCTCTGATTAGCAACAGTCTAAGATGGGAATACTGGGTAACAAGAAAATAAGAAATCTGTATTTCACATTAAAATCTTTTAGCAGGATACACAGTTTTTAGATTTATTATTCCTTATAGTTGATGGTGAGATCGTATCATCGAGTTTTCTTCCCAGGTTGATTCATGAAACCATACAATGGCATCTCATTCATAGTTCATTGATGGTATTACTTTGAAATGGAAGAAACTCAGTAACTTCTCACATTAGGAGTGATTTCTTACATGGCCTGAATATAGAGAAATCTGCTATAACTTCAACTATGGCTGCAGTGAATTTTCTAACCAAGTATGTTCTTTCTGGAACTTTCCATCAATGAAAATTTGTTATTGCAATATAAGGAAGAAAAAGAAGACAGCTTATCTTTCTCAAAATTATTCCACATCAGGCCAGGTGCGGTGGATAACGCCTAAAATCTCAGCACTCTGGGAGGTCAAGGTGGGTGGATTGCTTGAGTTTAGGAGTTCGAGACCAACCTGAGCAAGAGTTGGACCCCATCTCTACTAAATATAAAAAACTAGCCAGGGGCAGCGCCTATGGCTTAAAGGAGTAGGGCACTGGCCCCATATGCCGGAGGTGGTGGGTTCAAACCCACCCCAGCCAAAAACTGCAAAAAAAAAAAACCCACAACAAAAAAACTAGCCAGGTGTTGTGGCAGGCACCTGTAGTTACTCGAGAGGCTGAAGCAGGAGGATCACTGAATGAGCCCAGGAGTTTGAAGTTGCTGTGACCTATGATGCCACTGTACTCTATCCATGGCGACTAAGTGACACTGTGCCTCAAAAAAAAAAAAAAAAATTACTCCAAATCTCTTCAATATAAGATACAGCTTCAGGGAATGCTAACAACTAACTTTCCCACTGACAGGCTTTGAGGCTTTTGTCCTACATAACATCACTGAAATTAAACAAATTTCTGATGATTTAATGTGACGTATTTCATAAACATTTGTCAAAGCAATTATTGTCAACTACAATGTAATTGTCCATATTGAATTTGATGACTCAACTGGAAAATTACTTTTTATCCTAACAAAATTTTTCCAAATGATAATAGTGAATCAGTGTTGATTAGTTGTTCAATGTGTGCTAATTAACTACACCAGGTAAACTGAGCTCCGTGCTAATGTTAAGAAGAAATCTGTACACACGACTCTGTCTCAAGTGAAGAGAAATCTACTGTTTGTCTACTTTTCCTCTTCTAATTTTTCTCAGAAGAATGTTCAATAATACAAAATAAACAATGAAACTCAACTGCTCTTGGTGGACAGTACAGATAACAAGAGGAGTTCTTTGTAATCTTGTTCTTAGGCCAAGAGCAAAAGAAAAGACAAAGATCTTGATTGTTGACAGCTAGCTGTGAGGACCTCTTGCCAGTTTATCCCTAGGGCAGAACTGGTTTAGATCATATATCCAAGGCAATAAATAGCAATTTCTTCAGCCTGCAACAGTTTCTTCATCTAGCAGCTAATTTAAATGCTGAAGTTAGCCAGAGGCTCTACAGTGCAAGGTATTTGGGGAGTAGTCTCTTGAAGGGATCCAGAGTCCTTCATTTTCTAGCTTTTATGTGCTGATGATTCTTTTTCTTTGAACCTAATGGGAGATTAGGGCAGGGAAGAAAGGAAGACTAACAGAAATGTCAGGGGAACCCTCTTGCAAAGCTGGCAACAGAAGACACTCTGTGGGTATGAAACGTAATTTAAAGAAGATACTGATGGTTGAGGTTCTGTCCATAAAAGGTAGAATGTTATGTACCAGGAGATACTTAATAATGAAATGCATTAGCTCCAAATAGCTTTTACTAATCTATACTTTTATATGTACCGATTACCACTTGTAAGCCAGCCTTTGCTCTAAGTTGTAACCTCACTGAAACACCAATATGTATCCAGAGAAGGACCATTCAGATGGTGACACCCAAACACCAAGATCATATGCATAGATAAGAGGGCCAATCTGTTTTGCCTATTTCCAGGTACCGCAGAGGACAGGCATTTCAGGGATAGATTTCAGTTCATTATAAAGAAACATTTCCTAATAGAACTCTTCTTGAGAAAGAACAGAGTGTCTTAGCAAATAAGACTAGAAGGAACTTTAGAGAGTAGGTCCCATACCCCTCATACTGCAAGACACTCAAATATCCTTAACAAAGGTCATCTGACTTCTCTCTTGAGTCTTTACTATGTTTTCATGACATGATGGATGAATTATAATCTCAGAAGGTACAGAAGTATAGAACCAAATCAATATTTGACATGTTCACTGAACTCACATTTGACCACTCCATCTCTTTCTCCACATCTCTGATAATTTGCAGATAAGTGAAAAAACAGTGGTAAGGAAAAGTTTTCACTGAAGGTATTTTTTTCTCATCTTTTATAGAAAACAAAATGTGCAAAAAAAAAAAAAAAAAATGGGCAGGCTCACTGACCCAGCAGTTAAAAGGTTGTCAATAATCTAGAACTGTTCCTACAAAAGACAAAACACAGAATATAGTAAACTCCTTTTAGTGAGAAAAGGGTTGAACTAGTTTATTTTAAAATTTTAGATGTAGCCAGGTGCAGTGGCTCACACCTGTAATCCTAGCACTCTGGGAGTCTGAGGCAAGTGGATTTCTTGAGCTTCAGGAGTTCCAGACCAGCCTGATCAAGAGGAGACTCTGTTTCTACTAAAAATAGAAAAACTAGCCAGGTGTGGTGGTGGGCACCTGTAGTCCCAGCTCAGCTACTCAGGAGGCTGAGGCAGGAGGAGCACTTGAGCCCAGGAGTTTGAGGATGCTGTGAGTTATGATGCCATGGCATTTTACCCAGGGTGACAGAGTGAGAGTCTGTCTCAAAAAATAAAAATAAAGTAAAAATAAAACTATAATCATTACAAATAAAACATGGTTGTTGACTATTTCTGTGCAGGTGTGTTGTGCTGTCCTGGTAATCGATGACTGAAAGCCTCATACAAAGGACTGACCTGCTTTCCAGTGGTACATTACTGCCAAGGACCCAGCTGTCCTGCAGCTGGACGGACTCGGGTGTGGTTTGCAGCTCGGCGGGCAAAGCAGCCGGCGGGGCCGGACTCTGGTTCCTTCTATTGGTCAGGGAGTTTCTGTTGAGAGAAGTGATGGATGGATGATGCTGGGCAGAGTGCTGCTTATGGGGAGGTGGCAAAGGCTGCAAGGTAGACTGGCCTTGATTGTTTGCAGGTTGCTCTGGAAAAAAAAAGAAAACACATTATAAACATGTATGCGTACATACATATTTATATAGACTACCAATTTCTGGGGAATCCACTGCAGAGGAATTAGAATTAAAAACTGCATATAACTCCACCATCTAATGAATTTGCATATTATTCTATTATGCCGGTGTTCAGTGTGACATCTCTAAGAGGAAGTTTACCCTTGATACACAAAGTTCTAATTAATATACAACAGATGGCAAAATTGCTTTTGGTTTTAATTTGTTTCAGATTTTTTTCATCTGGTTTTATTAACACCTACGGAAAATAGCATCTGACAGCTCCCCTAATGTGCCTTTAGATTTTAGCTTTTTTAAACAAACCAACCCTGAAATTAAATGGGTAATTTCAGTGGAACACAAAGGTTTTCGAAATGCATATAATCCCTATAATTATTTAATGGAGTTTTTTTAAAGCTTTATTTAACTGCAATAAATTATTACAAGATAGTTGCTGAACAGCAGTAGACAACTCTAGTTTAGCGCATTTCAAATAAGGCAGATTTGCACTATGATCGGCTAATAGATGCTAAGTATTCTTTAGCAGAAGGTCACTCTGTGAAGCAGATGTTGTTTCATGGATACTTAACAGACTGAATCACATCTGATTACAACGTCAGAAGACTCATATACTTAATGACCGTTACATCCATTAGAACACACACAGAACAGATTTTCCAATTTCACAGTATGTAGTAGAACCACATTTTAGAGTAAGTCATAGGTGGCCAGAGAGATGTATGCCCCTATGTCAGTTTGTTTGAAACCAGAATCATCAAGAATCTAGCAACTTCAAAACATAAACATGACACTGTGTGGTAACTACTGAAAAATTCCCTACAGCTAATGAGCTACAAGTTAAAATTTACAAATTAATGTAACATCTGAGACCTACTTTTCAGTCTCATTACCTCACTTTGGACATGCTAGAATTTACAAAGACTACATTTTGCCAACTAGATAGATGACTCCTTAATTTAATGCCAAATTTGTCATGGTTCCACACACATAAGGTGCCAATTTTTGACTAAATGCAGTGCAAAATGCATATAATTTTAAAGTGATGTATTAAATCATGGCATTAACCTAAATGCACATATTACAGAGAACAAGAAACATAGACTACCTTTCATCTACAATGTGAACTGCAGCAGTGATTGGTAAGCCAAATAACCATAATTGCGATGTTAGACTATTGAGTGAAATGAATATGGAATATGTAATTGTGTGAATTTGTATCATTGTGTGAATTTGTATCATTAATTACGTAAATATATATCATCAAACCTCTCTACAGGATACAATGATAAAATAACTCCTCCCATTATGGCATGTTTCTAATGGTCTCTAATAATCCATACCATATAATTTAACAACTAATAATTTCTCACTCTGGAAGGGTAGAGATAATACTGAAATCTATGAAAATATTGCTACTTCCTTGTGGCTTCTGGTATGGAAACGTCAGAAATAGAGGATCTCTATTCTTTAATAGAAAAAGCCTCTCCTCTTGAAGTTCTCAGTGCTAGAAACTGCAGAAATCCTCCTCGGTTCAGTTCTTCAGTGTTGTCTAAATCTCAGATTAAAATAAGCTTTTGAGGGAACTAAAGGGCTAAAACAGCACCTATAGTAGTAATTGTCAGGAAAAAAAGAAACCAATAGTTTAAAATTCATGAAAGATTTATTATTCGGGTATCATCCTGAATAATAGTAAGAGAAATAGTACCATCCCATCTAGGTCTTAAATCAAGTCTAAGGATTCAGTGAAATCCATTCACTCATTCACACTAAGCCATTCGTCCCACCATTTACCTACGTTCTAGGATATGCTAAGTCAACAAGCGGGTGAATACACTGCATAAATGGTAAAAATAAAGCATTATGGACATCAAATCAAAAGTTCATTTTAAGATCCACTGTCATCACATTTCAGTTGAATGTTGAATTTTAAATTCTTACATTAAAACATAACCGATGGTGGGCAGCACCTGGGGCTCAGTGGGTAGGGCACCAGCCCCATATACCAAGGATGGTGGGTTCAAACCCGGCCCCAGCCAAATTGCGACAACAACAACATCCACAAAAAATAGCCAAGCGTTGGGTCGGACGTCTGTAGTCCTAGCTCCTCGGGAGGCTGAGACAAGAGAATCGCCTAAGCCCAGGAGTTGGAGGTTGCTGTGAGCTGTGACACCACAGCACTTTACCAAGGGCAATAATGTGAGACTCTGTCTCAAAAAAACATAACCAATAAGAAAATCTTCCATTAAGTTTTCATAAATGTGTCACTGTGGTTCTCCCTGGATTCACTCTTTCATTATTCAAGTATTTATTGAGTACCTGAAGTGCATTATCCAAGTACTTATTGAGGACCTGAAATGTACAAGATGCCCTATGTAGATTCATGCTCTTTCCCACTGTCTACACTGGCTACTGTGCTCTGTCTGCTGGCACCTCTTTTGATTTGTCTATATAATCGAGTGTCCTGCCAATGAATCAAACTTGGATGATGAAAGCAAGGTTCAATCTAAAATTTGATGGAACACAAAAAAGTACAGAGTCTGAGTGAGACCAAGTGGGGGTGGGCAAGAAATTTATTTATTTTGAGATAGAAGCTTACTCTATCACCTTGGGGATAGTGCCAGGGTATTAGCCAAGCTCACAGCAACCTCAAACTCTTGGGCTCCAGCAGTTGTTCTGTTTCAGCCTCCCGAATAGCTGGGACTACCTACCAAGTCTGGCTAGTTTTTCTGTTTTTAGTACAGACAGGGTCTTGCTCTAGCTCAGGCTGGTCTCCAACTCCTAAGCTCAAGGGATTCTCCTGCCTCAGCCTCCCAGAGTGCTGGGCTTACTGGTGTGAGGCATTGCACCCACCCTGGCAAGAAATTTAAACTCTGCAACAGACTACAAACAGAAGCAAAAATCTGTTAGGGTCGGGTTCTAGTTCCAGAGATCTGTGCTTAAAGGATATAAGTGGCTAGAGTATGTATCTACACCAACTTATTCAAGGTAGAATGTGAATATATAAAGTAAAACAAGATAAAAATGATCTTAAACACGGCCAGAAAGAAAGCTAGAATAAAGAAAGTACAATTTGGGGAAATAAAAGCCTCCTGCATATTTCTATACATGTTTAAAAAAGGATACAAGTCTGGCTCAAAATAATCTGGCTGCCAACATAAACAGGGAAACATGCTAGCTATATGGTTTCAGGGTAATACGAGGGTATAAATGATCAGATTACATTGTTTAAGTCCAAGTTTTAGTTGCGCCCTTCATCCAGAAGGTGTGCCATATACTCCTACATTGTGCCCATTAGTTGGGAGCACACCTATCCTCCCCCCTCCTCCCCTCACTTGATTTTAATTACGTTTTTCTCTTGTGTAGTTGTTCATCTACTGGTATCATAGTCATATTGAGTACACTGGATACTTGTTTTTCCATTCCTGTGATACTTTACTAAGGGCAATGCTCTTCAACTCCATCCAGGTTAATATGAAAAATGTAAAGTCTTCATTTTTGTTTATGGCTGGTGTAGAAGAAAGACGATTAAAAAAGGAAACTGGAAGTACAGGACTGAGTACTTGCTCACACTGAACAGAATGACATATAAATCAATTAACTTCCGAGCTTTAATTTTCTCCTCTAAAAAAAGTGGGAAGAAAGTACGATAGAGGTCATGTAATAAAGTTAAAAATGTTTCAGTTTTAAAATTGTATGTTAGGTAATACATGATAAAATCTTGAAATATATTAGGTTTTGAATATTAGAAAATAAGAAACAATGGAAAACCCTATGATATTGTTATACATATAAAACACTTAAAGAATTATACAGTAAATCACTTTACATCAAATGTAAATATTATGAAAACCCTACCATATTAACTCATGTCATAAATATGTCACCATATATCTTATGTTATAAATATTAAAAATAATACTTTTATTTTTAAAATAAATTCCTGAATGGTATCTTGTTGTAACTATTAACATCTTAAGGTACTTTATATCAAACTTTGAATTTACATCAGATTTCAGTGTTAAAACTTGTAAAACAAATTTCATTTAACTGTACTTACTTCCTCAGAGGTCCCATCTCCAAATACATTCAACATAAAAAATCAGAGCTTCAACATATAAATTTAGGGGGACACAAGTATTCAGTCTGTAGTATTTCATACCTGGCTTTTAAGCTCCCTTTCAAACATTTGGTAACTAGGGGGGGTAATAATCACTCCTATATATAGAATTATGAGAATTAAGACATTTAATAAAGTATTTTTATAAACTGTCTAGTGCTATTTCAATGTAAGGTATTCATTCCTAGGCTTTCCCCATTTATCTCAATAAATAAGAAGAAATGTAAGAAAGTAAAAAGAGTTTTTACCATTTTTTTCCATAGGCAAAATAATGTATGTTTATGTGCTAGTATGCCCATAAAATGAAATAATTTCTTTCTACAGGAAGGACTTTAAAAACCTGCTATTTTCACTTCTAAATTTATAAAGGAAAGATATACTTAATTATATTTCAAAAATATTTCTTTGTATCATATCATTAGACTGTTCATTTCATGTATCACTGGCATAAATGAAAAAAATGTGCATCATTCTAGAAATAATTCTATAGTATGCAGGGTGTGTTGTCCAAAATTTGCTTCAGCCCTGTATACTTAACTCATACTGTTAAACACTGAATTTGTATTCTTTGCATTTAAGCAACATACTAGAAAATGGTGTTCCCACCAAAACATGTGAACATGTGAAGATGAATGAAACAACTTTATGTTTTATGGTGCTAACTTCGAAAATCTGATTAAGATAGATGCCTTTAGCTCGTAATTCTTCAATGTCACGTTGTCATAGTTCCCATCAGTGAGATGTTTTAAAGGCTTTCGATTAATATTGCATGCCAGAACTGAAATTACATCCTTTGTCGTTTAGTTCTTAATGGTGCAAGTGATATCTAT